GTTGTTGTCCGCCATTGTCTTCACATACTGTGGACATATGTGACCCAATCGCTCGTGCCATAGTTTTAGTGAAGCGACACCTTCAGTCGTCGTAAAGTTACCAATAAGACCAACTGATGCCACAGTGTGATTGTATGCAAGACGATCTTGTGAAACTTAAGTCCCTCCACCAGAAGGATGACTCACATAAATTCCCCAAGTACTATCTTGGGGCGTAGCCACTACAACCGTTCTGTCTTCCTTTCTTACGCGAAAACATCTCACTTGTCGATAGTAGTCGAAATCAAAGCCATGTTTTTCAGCTAGTCCCATCGAAAAGAGTCCATGTGTAGCACCAGGCACGTAGAAGACATCGTTAATCCGAACAATGGTCTGCTTTCCATCGACATCCGTGACTAACTCTACAGTACCAGCTCCAGCAATCTTTGAAGCTAGATCGGATGCTACTCCATGCACGTATTGTGACTGGTTTGGGTCTACAGTGAGCTCCACGAAATACCATGGGTTTCCAATGACATGAACACTTGCGGCTGTGTCAAAATACTACCAACCACTGCTCGTATCAACCTCACTTTCGTTATGTTCAAGCCCATCATGCATCCAGTCAACATGCTTCTCTGTTCTGACAGTATCCTGCACTCGCTCAAGTTGCTGTTCCAATCGATCGTCTTCACTAACTTCCGGTTGCAATTCTGCATCCGTTAGTGTCGAATCGGGATCTCTTGTCACCTCTCCTAATGTTTCATCCACATTTTCTGAGTCTGGTGACACGCTGACAGCCAAGTGATTTGCAACTGCACGCGGTTTCCGCTCGCAGTAGCCCCACCCTCGTTCTTCACTCGATCCGGACAATCAACTTTCAGATGATCCGTGCTTTCGCAAATGAAACACTTCCTCATCTTTTTCTTCATGGAGTTGTTGCTCTTCTCAACTTTCTGATGCTCTGCACTATCGTCGAATTTCTGCTTACTTCCACTGCCTCTATTCTTATACTTCACTCGGCCACTCTTAACTTGGTAAGCTCTCTGGCGCGAGTCCGCAACACGAATCAGTTCACGAGCACGTTCAGGAGTAATGACAGTATCCGCACTGTTATAGCGAATACCACTTTTTAAACTCTCAAACTCGTACTGACGAGGCAGGCTGTTCAACATCCACTCGACCATGGTAGTATCATCAAACTGGTAATTCAACGAAAGCAACTCTGTCCGCAAATTAAACATTCTGCTCAAATGTTTATTTACATTTCCACTTGAAGACAACTTCATCATCTCCAGCTCATGTCTGATGTTCTCTGCGCGATGAGCCATGGTAGTTTGGTTCTCCGTACTCTCGAATTTCACGCATAAAGCCTTCCACATGTCTGTTCCGGTTGTCTTGCTCCTAATCTCGTGGAAGATGTCCCCTGGCAACGACATTCCGATAAGCTGCATGATAGACAATTACTGATCATCAAACCCTTCCTCGCGTTCAGCAGTCGAGAGCGAATCTCTTCACACTATCGTCCACGATACGCGTGAGTTTCTTCTCCCTGAATACAATCTCCATCGCCCACTTATACTGCTGCCAGTCTTTTCCGTCCCAATTCTTCGGGACATCATCGCTGGTGTACTTCAGCGGTTCTCCCATCTTGGACCACTCGCACAGCTCAAACTCCCGTAGTTATTTGGGCTCAGAACCCAATTAGAAATTGAACTCGATCCGTAGGAAGACTTGCTCACCAGCGTGGAAAAGGAAAAGTAAGTTAGATTTGATGGTTAAGACTGCTTCACTAACTCTATCCATCATTCACAGGCTGCTGCCTGTGTCTCATGCATCGACCGGCAGTTGGTAGCTTCCTCCAAGTTTGTCATACCTCTGGTACGGGTCCCAGATCTGATACTCAACCTTTCGCTACCTCACGGTCTCCGATATGTATTCCAACAGACTCGCAGTTGCGAATAGTACAGGCTATCTTGTTTTCGTGGCCGTCATACCGCACACCACTCTGCTAAGTTAATGCCATGAACCGCTTCGGCGCTTGGGCCTCACAGCCGTCACTTTTCACACCACTCTGCGCAAAATACATAGAGCGATACGGGCCATCACCACACAAAGTCTTCCGTAGCGCACCAGGCTAAATCGTTTGTCCACTCCGTCCAAGCTACGCAAACTGTTTCGAGTTAATCAAAGCGAAAGCAAACGGTGAGTTACGTAGAGCCGTTTTCAAATATGTCTGCTCCGCACCCCACCATACCCTCTGTGGTCCTGTTGGTCAAATGCGTGCATGCTAAAGCTTGATAGCCCAGAGACTGCTGGTAGATTAGTAGATACTGCGCACAAATTAACGAGTATGAAAGAGCAACCGCATCAGCTCACTCACCGCCACGGCGACAAAAAATATATCTTGAAGTCGGGCGGTGGTCGCCGTAGCAGTAGGAAAAAGCGGTTGTGAGCTCCTGAAAAAAAGATTTTTTCTGATGGATAGAAAATGACACCCTCGCTCAAATCACATTACCCTTTTAAACAGATAATTTGTATTTAAATGCTTGTAATTGTACTTTTTATAAATCGCTTTTGATTTTAATCGTTTATAGCTAAAACAGAAGTTCATGAACTGTAAAGCGATAGCACATTCCAAATCTAAAGTCAGCCTTATATTTTGTAGCAGTACCAGCTAATTCGCTGTAAATATTTCAATACATATATGCTATATTCACTATGGGTCGTATTTTCCCACACTATCCCACATCTTATACCACAATTCATACCACCAGTGCCTTTTTAAAATGAAATGTGGGAATCCCCACCATTAATGAGCTGGTGAAAAGCGGCTTTTTTATCTGGATTAGATTATTCCATCCTCATAGCTAGGATGAATTAGATGGGTCGTGGGAAGAATGATGATCGAAAAGAGTATCGAATTACGACAGAATTATGACGGCAGAAAAAGTGAAACACACAAAACCAGCCCAAATCTCTACTTCGAGGTAGTACAGTACTGTACTGTACCGATTTCGGTCCCTTGGACCTTTGATAAACTTCCGGATGTGATCTTTCTAAATCCGGATAAACAATTTCTTGTACGGTAAAATCTGATTTAATTGCAAATCCTACATGGTCCACCCCCGGTGCAACACTGTAATTAAATTCCTTTAACCTATGATGAGATAGGGTTCAAAAAAATTGAGCATTTTGAACATCTACCTGGGCATTAATTAAAGAGGGTTTAAGTCTACGATGAAGACCCCCGAGTTTGCATCTTCCCTTATTTATTTGTTGCGAATCTTATAATGTTTCCGCCTCCTAACACTTCTGTCTGCTTCTTTTGGCTTTTCAACTACATGAACTCGGCTCGACTTGTCAAATCTAGGATGCCTCCGCAATTGGGTCTGCTGCTGTTGTAACTTTGCTCGCCGCTTCTTGTCCTTTCCACCTTTTAAAAGCGTCGAATGTTTGCGACCGTTACCTGCTGCGAAGGTTGAAAGCGCCTGAATGAGGCCAGTCGTACTCTTTGCGATCACATCTGGGTCATCGTAACCGCGCGTCCAACTTTCGTCGTCGTCTTCCTCACTTTTGTCCTCTTCTCTCAGGTCTTTCTTGTTGCTTTGCTTTCCTCCTGACGCAGTTGAAGCTCCACTACAAGTTGTCAACGAAGTAGTAGAGCCCGATTCCGTACTCACCGCATGAAAACTAGACAGAAGCTCTTTCGCTCGCACCGTGGTATCACGAATTTGCTTGGGATCAACAGGAGCTCGAGAAGCTCTAGTAAATGGAGTTGGTTCACAACAAGTACTCGCGTCTAAGGAACTGGTGTTGCGCTTGCTTGAAGAATTCTGAATGGGAGGAAAATTTGATTCCCAAGGCAGCAGACTATTTTTCTTTTTGTGGTGCCGTCGCTTAGGTCGCACGATTATCGGATCTTGGTCAGCCAATCTGGTTTCCTTGCCGCCAGAGTCTGAGCTGATGCTAAGCACAGGTAGAGGCACTATAGCATGAGTCTTCCTGGCCACTGCACTTGGTCGGGCAGGCGCTGTTAAACGCTCTTCAACGTGAGGCAGGTTTACTGCTTTATTATGTGGTGCTGATGAAGGGATCATCAGCTCGTCTGGTCGCCGTCTCTGGCTTATCTCGAATTCCTCACGACCACCATCATATTCGTCATCGAAAGCTGCCGACACCACCGATGCGACACCTGGCTTACGAGCAACATTCGCTGCCATTGCCGCAGCAGCTACTCTCATTCGTCGCTGGCGTCCAAAAGCAGCAATAGCAGCATTCTCTTCCTGGATTGAAGTCATTCTCGGCGATGGCGTGGAGTTTTGGTGGCGCTGAAGCTCTCTTGCTTCGTGAAGCTGTTTTCTCTTGAACTTGCGAAGTACAGGAGGTTCATTCTGGTTCTTGGAATGTAAATTGACAGCTTGGCTCTCTGACAGTGGCTCACCTCCTTGAGATGGTTGCAGCTTTCGCTGTGGCTGGTGCAAAGCACATAACACTGTGCCGAAATTGAAGCTGGTCAGCTTTTTCTGTGGGCTCCGGCTGACAATGTTAGAAACTGCCTTGCGCTCACGTCCGTCCAGGAGCTCGTCATCGAAATCTACCGCTCCCCATCCACAGATATCATCTTCATTGTCCTCGTAGTCGCTCGCTTTTACGGCGCCAAACATCCCCGCAACTAGAATTACAGAGAGATACTTGCAGCTTCCGTCATCGAGAGATAGCCAGGAAGACTCGCGTACTTGTCTAAGAATAGCGACAAAAGATACCAGTAATACAGAAGCATGCACAATCAAATACACTCTCACTCAAGAAGTTTTCTTAAAAATAATTCGGTGGCGGCTTCACTTGACAGCCGATGTCTCCACATAATGATATCGGTCCAACCGTCCGACGCTGTCCTGTTCCAGAGTTACCTCGCGTCTCCATCCTCACTTAACATTTCCAATTCCGGTGCAGACTCAGCTCTTTTGATGATCGGAGCTGTGGGAAAGCTGTTATCCTCTGAGTCGCTGGACGAAGGTTCATTGACTGGACTCTGAGCGTCCATCTCATCGGCATCAACGATCTCGAAAGTAGCAGCTTTGTCTCGCGATATAAATGGACGCAGTAATCCATCGCGTGTCTGAGCGCCAACAAACCAGCGTCGGTGACGCAAGCTCTGCAACTCTCCGTCCCATCCCAGTTCGAACTGGAACCAGCGCTTGAACTGCATCTTCCGACGTCGTGTGAGTCTCAGTCCACTGGAACTGGCATACAGAACATCTCCAGGCTTTTCATAATCCTCAAACTCCACACGGACACAGTTGTACGCCTGCACACGAGCCCCCAGTCTCAACGCTGTAGGTCTCTGTCTGAATGCCCAGTCCTTCTCGCTCGGATCGTCTTGCACCAAATACAGCTCGTCTCCGAACCGTTTAGCAAATTTTCCAGTGTCTTTGAGTCTCAAATAAACCTTCTTCCCCGCCAGGTCTTCGAGCTTCTTGTTCCTCTGCTTGGCCATCTCTTGAATACCCAGCAGATGAAATTGCAGACGCTCCAGCGCTTGTGCTGACTTGGCCGACGACGTCAAGAACGGCACTTTGGTCTCCGTCCTGGACAAAAGCTGCTTTGACCAGCCCACGCCTGTGGTGCACCACAGCGCGACATGTTCGCAATTGAGCGACAAAATACTGAAATGTCCCTGACCGAGTCCCAACAGGAACCGACAGCGCGCCAGCACCACCGGCGGCGCGTCGGCGTGTGTGCGATGCACCTCGCCTAACAATGAACTGGCCTCAGCCACCAGTGACGAATTGTACTGCACGCGGCGCATGTCCGGCAGCGGACGCCCGTTCAGGAACTCGGTGAGACTTGTGAGCTGGAACTTGGAGTCCGCCTGGGACGCGCGCAGCCCTGTTTTGCGAGACCAGACGTGGGCGATGGAGATCTCGTCCGTGGACTCCCCAGCCGTGAACACGACACCGTGGTGAGTATACCGGAATGGCCAGCGACTCGTGTCCCAGATGCAGATGTGGTCGGCCGCCCGCAATTTCGCCACATCCTGCACCTCGCATGTGTTCATCTTGAGCAGCCACGGAGGCGAAAAAATAGCTCGCACTTTTAGTTCTGGAAACGGAATTGTTATTGTTGCCGGGAGTTCCCGTTCGTCTACCTGTCGAACGGATAGAGAAGAAAAATCGCCGTGCCGAGTTCTAGTTTGTTGTGGGATCGATTGTTTGTAGGAATGTGTCACAATTTGACCGAATCCTCTGCCGAGTTTACGAGAGACTGGGCGATCCGGATAGGTTCTGATTGGTTTCGACATGCGGTACAAAAAAGTAAGCGACTGAAGTGGCTGTGAAAGTCTCATGTTGAGAGTCACGCACGCTCAACTCCACCAGTTCTGGCTGATCTCGACTTTCTTGTTTGCAGCGCATCGCAATGAAGCTCCATTCGAAATGGCTGGGTTTGTTGAGCTTTTACTAGGATAGTGGACCGATTCCCGCAGAATCTGTCGCCCCCGAAATCGGACAGATTTCGGCTAAATGACCATAGAACGGCCAATCAAGGCTAATTTGGACATTCACAGATTTTGACAGATTCTCATTTATGGGGGTCCAAGTGAAAAGCACTAAACTTATATTATCCTACATATATATTTTGGCTAACGTAATTTGCCAGTTGAGTGCCTGATTTTGGGCATGCTCAAAAGGTGCATCTAGCGAAAAAGGCACCAATTGTTGTTTGAATTGGGTCTTTGGAAAGCAAAAAGGGAAAACCAACGCATCTAATACTTATTTTTGCGTTTTTTACAAACGAACGTGTGAGGTGCAATGGCTAGTCAAAAGTGAGGATGGAATTTGAGGCTATCAGTTTTGTGCACGATTCTGGCTATCGACTAAGGCTTACCCTGAAGCAGCATCTCCTTGGTTATAAGACGCCCTACAAAGTCCACGGTGCGTCGTGAGCGTTTGCCTTTAGTGCGAGGTGCTGGTGGCAGCTGTAATATACTGCTACGTATATCTTCTTGAATTTCACGCTTTCGCTTAATCCATGCCGCCCTTCCAATGTCTCCGCGTGCTCCACCGCTCGCAAACATTCGTAAACGAGCCTGCATACTAGGCAAGGATGGTGGATAGATTCCCGTGGTTCTAAAGCCATTTACAGCGTTTTCAGGGCTTGTTATCACCGCGTTACGATACGCATGGCACGCTATCTCGATGGCAACCGATTTTGCAATAGTACAGTCCGAACTGTGCAGCATTTTGGCTTGTAAAGTAGATTTCACCATGGTCTTGAAAGGCTAGAAAACAGCCACGTCAAGAGGCTGATAGAGGTGAGTGGCATTTGGAGGGAGGCCGACGAGCAAAATTTCTCTGTGTGACCAAACGGAAACTTCACCTGAAATAAATTAGCCCGTCAAAATTGATTATTACAAAATCCTTGTTAATAATTAAAATAATTCCAATAAAATATAAAAGCACTTACCAATTTCGACATGAGTCGAACTGTTGTCCAGGACCAGCACCACGGGACGCGTCACGTTGTTGCTTGTCAAATACGAGTCAAACGTCTTCATCCAGAGCTTAAATATACCGGTATTACTGAAACCTTTGGGTGCACCAGTCACAGTTGTGTTGTCAATGGATATGGCAGCCATTTCCTCTCGATAAATCCTCTGCCCCGGCAAAATAAGGAAGGGATGTACTGCGTCGCCTGCCGCATTCACAGCAGCTACCACGGTCATGTAAAAATTTGCCTTAGACTCTTGTGTCCACACATTGGACGACCCTTTCAACGCCACAACCTTCCGCGTAGATTCCTTCGGCATAAACGCCGTTTCGTCCATGTTGAAAACGCGACTCTTATCCAGCTTATGCTCGATAACAAGCTGCGCCATAGTGTAGAAGAGGCCACGCACAGCCCCTGCCTCAACGTTATTGCGGACGCGGGCGATCTGCTGAGCGACCCGAGGTGTCAGCTGTGGGTGCCTCCCTAAGAAACGTCGGTACCAGCCAGCCGTGAGCGGCGTCGCTGGTTCTGTCGAGCGAGTTGGCATGGGCAGCGTTGCAATGTAAACTTCGTTAGCCTTGGCCAATATGACAGACGGCCCAACAGGTAAGCCAACTCGCTGCATAGCACACACCCATTCCACCAGGTCATCTTCTAGCTCCATAGGCAACGTCGGCTTGGTCCCACGACGACTACCCGTCAGATCCTTTCCTTCTCTCTGCTCTTTCGCCTTCTTGAACAACGTTCTCAACGGGATGTTGGTCATGCGCGACACAGCAGCATATTTCTCCCCTTTAGTAACTCTTTTGAGAGCTATGAGGAGGTCTTCAAGCGTGTAGGTTCCCCCTCGGCGCAGCGTTGTAGACTCCACGTCTTCGTCGTCTGCTCACATGACTTCGTGGCTTGTGAATGAATGGGTTGCGGTTGGTCAGAATCGAATACCCTTTTAAAATGATGAGTCGGAATAATGTGGATTATATTCAGTTGGTTGTGGAAAAGCGTGCACTGATGTGGCTTAAAGGAGATCAACCAATCCGATTGCACATTTTTGATTTTAAGCATAACAACTGGCAGAAATTCTGCATCGTGCACGCAATTGGCATCACGCACTCAGCTGGCAAATAACGTTACGACAAATCTCCGTGCAGTTTTTACTGAAAGGGTATCCTTCGTGCTGTTAACAACACGCTTTTTTAGAGCGCCTCCAAACCCGAGCTTCAACCGGATAATTTGCAATTCAAGCTGAGCTCTTTTACGAGCCTCGTTTTCAAACTGATTTCGGTATTGTCGGCGACGACAATTTCTTAAATTTTACGATTTTATGATATTTCTAACTACCGGTAGATTTAGAAACTGATACTGCTAAATTCTGGAAAAACTCGTTTTTTTAACCCGGGGAAAAGCACTACATGTAGAAAACGCATGAGCTGGAACACGATGCAGCCGTCGTCGCTAAAAATAAAGGCTAGATTCGTTGTTGATGTTTGGCTGCTGCGAGCCATCCTAAGAAGAGAGAATCCTGCATTACAATTTAATGCCATTTTGCTCGCCTGTTTTGGAACGAATGAAACGATCGCGTCGAGTTGTGCCCACGAAGTCTCGTCAGTTCCGATTGGTCGGAGAGTATGACAGCAGCTGAAGCCTTGCTGGCCTACGAGCCCTTGCAACAGCTCCAGCACGAGAATTTCTTGTTGCGTGAAGAGAATCGTCGAATCCGGAGTGAGGCTCGCGAGTTGTTGGCATGGAAGGAGAAGGCTGTAGCCCACATGGCAGCGATGGCACCAGCTCGTCGGCGGGCTGCACGTGAAGTTGAACGCGCAAAGGAGCTTCAACAACAACTTCGAGCAGTCGAAAGCTCATTGAAATCCCGAGGCGCGCTTGAACTAGCTACAACAGAGCTGGAAACGGAGCGTGGGGCTCTTCAGCATCGCGTCGACGTGCTCAAACGTGAGAATACTGGCCTGAAGCTTCAAAGCGATCACAGAAAGCGTCGAGCTGACGAAGCTGAAGCTCAGCTCGCAGCCATGGGAGAGTCATTTCGGCTTCACCTGGAGCGCTTAGTAGCAATGCGAGAAAATCTTGATGAGGATGGGGATGGCAGAAGCAAAAACAATGCGCACGAGAAACTTTCAGCCGACACGATGAGCAAGGGCTACAGTAATACTGATTCTACCATTGGAAACCAGGATCCTGAGAGCCCAGAGACTGAAGCGGGAGATGCCGATTCATCATCCTCGGACTCGTTGAGCTCTATTGCTCTAGTGACAGGTCTAGACGCGGTGGCATCCAAGTGTCTATCGTGGCTCCAGGGACACTTAGAGCAATCATTTGCGCAACAACAACACAAGGCAGCGTGTTTCGAAGCCCAGCACGAAGAGATGAAGCGCTTGAAGGAGCAGGTACAGGCCGCAGGTCGTATCCCGGAAGAACTGGCCGAGCAACATGCCAAGCTAACGCGCGAACTCCTAGAACTACGTGAAACTCATGGACAACTACAGCAACGAGTAGCGGGCGCAGAGAACATGGTGATTATCCAGCAGCAACGTAGAGAGGACATGGCAATCCGCCTACGCCTCGTTGCAGGTGAGGTGCGTCAGTACCTGAGACTTGTTCGGGGTGAAATCAAGCGCAAGTTTGGATATTTGCCTGAGGCCATCGCCCATGCTGAAAGCTGGACTAGGATCGCTGAGGCGCTGGAACTGTTGCTGTGTCAGAGTTCGGATCGGTGCATGGCTCGAAGTCGTGGGAGGAATGGCAAGTGAATGAACAGAGAGATGCCTACCTGACTATGTTGAAGTTATAACCGATAAAGTTGAATCCCATAAGCTATACCATCTCATAGCTCTGCTGCGTGGTCCCCATGACTACATAAAAATACTCAGGCTGCTGGACGCTGTCGCTTCCTCTGGGACCGACGCAGTGACTGATCTTGGTCTTTCACGAGCTCTTCCTGTGTCTTCTCCTCTTTCTTCTTCTTGGCAGGAGACGACGTCGCTGGCTTATCTCGCTTTCGCTTCGCAGCAAGAGAAGGTGCTTTCTTCTTGGAACCAGTTGCAACCTCGTCTGACGAGTCGTCGTGTGCCTCGGCATAAAGACACAACTGTACACGCTGTGCTGTCCATAGTCCCGTGTTTCCGGCTTTCGCATCGTCGTTTGCAGCTCGCTGTTCGTTAAGCCACTTGGCCTTAGCGCTTAACTGCTCAGCGAAACTCAGAAAGTGCGGTAGTGTGTACTTGCGCGGACCAATAATGCCTGCAACCGAACACGTCGACACACAGCCGTTTAGCAAAAGCTTTTTTTCCACAACAGGACAGACCAGATAGACCCGCGAGTCTTCGCCGAAACGCACCGGCAATCGCTTCCAACGCCTCGTCAGCCATAAAAGGAACGCTTTCATCGTACGCTGCAAGCACTGCCGACCCTGTGGCAGGCCCCACCTGCATGATTCACCGTTAGACCGTGGCGTTTCTAACGCTTTGATAATCTAAAGCTAAAGCAGCTGTGGCGTTCTTTCAACGGGCACATTTGCACACTTTAGTAGAGCGGCTGTTACGAACCCCTTTCAAGACGCACAGTGCCTCCGTGGCAGCGCGTAAATCCTCGCGCTTGAGCTCTTTAAATGCGTTCAATGAGGCCTGTTTGACTTCGTTCTCGCTCAACCCAGACACGAACTTCATCAGCTGGGGACGCCTACACGATCCAGACGCAGCGTCAAGAGGCGACTCCAGTATCTATTGGACTCAGCATCAGACGCACCATTTGCCCTTCCTTAGCTTCCACTCCAGGAGGTGCTGCAGCTCCTGTTGCGTCACGTAAGGCTCGGGCTCGCGCGCTTGTACAATTGGCGGAAAAGTGTCCAGGTACCAGCCATCCAGCGTCGCCAGGTCGCTCTTCTTTTGAGTACAAAAAACGTCAAGGGGGGTGGCGACTGATTGTTTTCCTAATAAAGCAATATCAAACGCACCTGCGCCTGAAGCACCTCGTCGTAGCGAACCCAGAGCGCCGCCCACGCCGCCTCAGACGACGAGCTCCACAACTTCGTCATGGATCGGATTTTCTTGGCGTGGTACACCCCATAGTCGTCACGCTGTAAAATTAGCGTTTGCTCGTCACGGACATTTCATCCAATCGACGTCGAAACCCGGCGCATTCGCACTTCGATGTGCTAAGCAGTTTCGCGGTTTGAATGGAATCAAGGAGGTTCTGACATGATGTTAGTCTGCATTAGTGGAGGCGACGTGACGGCCGACAATGCATTCTGGAAGGCATTTGAAATGCAATGCCCTACCCTCTACGAAGCAAAGTCCATTCTATATTTATAGCCTCGAAGCACGTGAGGCATTTCCAAAAATTCTAGGCGAGCCTCGAAGCAACCTGAAGCAAGTGCGTGGCCTCTCCGCTGGCTCTTCCTGATCATCCAGTAGCAGGTAATTGCCACTTGTCAAGTCCGTTGTCGCCTCGTCAGAGCTGCCTCTAAATCTGTGTTTTCACTTAGTCTGCAATCGGCGCTAACTCCGACACATTAAGACCAGCAGGTACAACCACCAGACACCTCCTCGCACAGACCGACGCGATGGACGAGAAGGAAGCTGCCAAGGCCAAGCTGCTCATTGCGACGTTACAGAAATATGGCTACGATCTAGAGGATCCCTCGCGCACCAGCTCCACCACCAGTACTAACTCGAGCTCCGATTCGTCTTCCACCGAATGGAGCCCCGACGACGACGTGGAGCCAGCCGCTGCTCGCCGCTTCAGCGTTACGTCATCGACTGGTATCCTGGCATTGCGTGACCGTAAGAATCAGCAGAGCGCGCTACATATTGCTGCCAAAAAGGGCCACTTCGATGTATTGCGTGCACTGGCCAAGCTCCCACGGCTCTCTGAGCACCTGAACGCTGGCGACCGACACAGCAATACGGCGCTACACTTCGCAGCCAGTAACACCAGATCGAATGCGTCAGATCTTGTGGAACTTCTGCTCAATTTGGGCGCCAACCCGTCGGCCATGAACGTCCGTGGACAGACCCCACTAGCCATCCACATCATGACAGCCAAGCCGGAGACACCTACAACCATCACCAAACTCTTTATCGATAAATTCCGACAGCTGAAAGCCACTTCGTCTTCATCGACTCCTTCATCACCATCGTCTCCCACTGGTCTCCGTGCTCCTGCCCCGTGCGCAACGCTAAACGAGCTGGTGAATGGTACCACGTACTTGCACATGGCGGTGGAGCGTCAACTGGGCGAGATTGGCGGTGCACTGGTGCAAGGAGGAGCCTCCATCAACGTGCCGGATCACAATGGTGTCATGGTGAGCGACACGATCCCCAAGAAGCTGCTGGTGAAGCTCATTACCTTCATGACGGAGGGCTCGCAAGTGGCTCCATCGGACATCGTGCGAGGTAGCTGCAAGATCTGCCGCAACCCCAAGAGCTTGCTGGATCCTCTAAAAGACTGCGCTCTGTGTGGCCGCGCAGTCTGCAAGAACTGCTCACAGAAGGCGTCGGAGATCCGTAAATCGACGTCAGATGGCAGCTACGCAGCGCTCAAGGACAAGGATGAAGGTCGATTCTGTGCTGTTTGCTGCACCGTCAAAATTCTTAAAAGCAAAAAGCACAACGAGCGCGAGAACTTCAACAAGAAGCTCATGGGCTGCAGCATGAAATAGACCCGTGGGCGACAATTAACAAGTGGCGCTACTTACTTTAAGCGGGAGATACTACGTCTTTTGATATTGTGTTACTTGGTCTCCTTTTTTTCTGCTGTCATTTGATTATTGTGCCGGGGTGACATGTTTTGTCTGCGTCTAAATGTTACAATGACGAGAGCTTCGTGTGCAACCGTAGTACAGTATCAACCCACCAGCGCATTGTACGAAAGGTAAGTGAGCGAGGCTGCCGAGAATACGGCCCCAGCGTACGCAAAAACGAGCGCCAGACGCGGAGAGTAGAACGCGTCACGCTCCACGAGATACCCACGCGACACTTCATACAAGAAGAGTCCAGGGACTGTTAGTGCAAGCACGTTGCCTGCCACAGAGCCGACAAATGCCATTACAGTGCCCAAGTTGCGCGAGGATATTGAGAACAAGTGGGCGACCAGCAGAAAGACGACCGTGATAGCTGTGCGGAACGGAAGGCTCTCTCGGTCGTGACCCAAACAGCAAATCTCCACAAGCTGACGCAGCGGCTGGAAAGTCATGGGCGTCTTCAACACCATACTGACACCCAGCGCTAGGCGAGCTCCATTGATAAGCGTATCATCGGCGTCAAAGCCAGTCAGGATGTCGCTGGGTGGCTGTCCGTGGAAGCACGCGTAGCCCAGGTACGCAAAGAGAAGATAGACGAAGAGTCCCCAACCCACCAGCGCCTTGTGCACGTTTGTCATCTGCGTTTTGTCGTGGATTTCCTGGTACGCACGCGGAACATTGAGTTGACACACGAAGCTTAAAGTAACAATGGGGAGAGCATACGAGAGCGCCGCGAGCTCCGAGTTGAACTCATCCGCTGGGTTTCTTGGGATCTTCGCTGCGAAATCGGGGTCGTTCTGCGCTGTTCGGATACCGAGCGCCACAAGGATGTAGAGCAGACACAGTAGCACCAACATGTTGGCAAAGCGGAGCTCGTGGATGGTTTCTGGAAGGCAAATCGGGATGCCCACGAGCATGAAGGTAAGGCTGATTGTCCTGCGGCTCATGAAATCCACCAAGAAAGGCTCGAACAAGTCCATGGCGATGACCATGTAGCTCACGATGGCACCGAATAGAAGTGCAAGTGTTAATAGCCGCACGGCCCATACACCGGACGCACCGAAGAGGCGGGAGCTCAGCGCCTCGTACGAGAACTCGCAGGCGGCGTCACAGCACACGCTGAGCATCTCGCAGGCATGGAAAGCTAGCCACGCGCTCATGGCGAACAGCAGCAGAGCGGGGATCTGCCCCACAGCCTGTACGACGCCCGGGAGAGTCAAAACACAAGCACCCGTCATAGTCGTAGCAAGTCCCAAGAAAGACGAGAAGGCCGACCCCTCATCTGTGTGACCGGGGGCGCGCACGGGCTCGGAGAGGGGAAGCGACGAGGTATTGGGGGTGGCTGATAGTTTCTGCGACGGACTTAACGCTGCACTGGTCGTCCGCAGCAGCGGCGAGGACTCCCTCGAACTTCGAGTCGAAGCCATGAACAGTGGCAGGTGCGCAACGGCGAATGACAAAAGCCGTTGAATACTCAATCGTATTCTGTGAATTAACGAATAAATAATGTTTACGTAGTATAATTTAATTATTGAATTGTCGTCAATGGATTTTCGCGAATTAAACGAATAAACGTTAAAATAGTTTTTAGGACGAGCTTAGTGATGGTACCAGGTTTACTGTTAATTCAGGTTTCGGAATTAAAGAGAAGAATCAGGTGCAAGTAATTTATGCAAACTGCATAGATTACTTGAACTGGTATTTTCCAGGTAGAAGTCATGCGCGAAATATGAGTAAAAGTGGAAATGAGGGCTGGTGAGATGTGTCGGACGACTCTCCGCCAACCAAACGGCAAAGGTGACAGCTTCTCAAAGAGTTAGACATCCTCAACGCATTTATGTTTTCTCCAGGTTGAACAAGGTATTGACCATGTATTGAACTTAGTTAGCTATCCTGCGTATCCGCTGACTACCTAGAAGTTCATCATCTTCAAAATCGCATGCAGCATCGCCCAGCGAAGCCCCAGCAGTCCAGTAGTTGACACGTCACTTGGTGCGTCGCTACTTACACAAGCCCAGAACAGACGGCAAACGAACACGCCGCAGTTATCACCGTCGGTCTGCATGGGCTCTATCAGTGAGGTAGTAGTGAACTCCTCCTCTCCCGTAGCCTTCTCAATGATCTTGCTCGCCATTGCTTTTAAAACCTTCAGATTCTTTTTGCCACCCATGCTGTCGTATGTCTTGACTTGTTTAGCAGCTTTATCAACCACTACGCATCCCCAGTGAGCACCCCCAAAGTTTACGGGTAACAGCACGTACGGATACAAGGCGACGCCCCCAGCAATGTGCTCTAACGTTTTGGCAGGAAGCGATCTCATTTTGCTTGAGTTCTGAGGAAGCGTGATCGCTACGTTATTCTTGTAGGGTCTCAAATATACCGCAAAAGCTGTCATTGCGTTGTCATTCAGCCAAGCCGATCCTCGAAATCAGAAAAGATCCGAATAAGCCAAATCAAACCCGAATCCATGCCGCTGAGTATAATATGAAGCCCCCAAAAGCTGGAGGGACACGGTCTTTGCTGGAACAGGTCTTCTATAGCAGTTTTGACTTCACTATTAATCCATGTACAACATTGAACAGCGTCCCGGCAGGTGGCCTGCATCTTCCAGATCCATTTCATTGCTTCCAGTTGAGCTCTTGTGAGCTGTCCAGCCTTTTCGATAGTAGCCACATAGCAGACCCGGCCATCTTCTCTCTCCCCATCGCTATCAAGCTCAATTCGCTCTTCTTTAGCCAACCCCCCATTTAGTTGCCCCAATGCGTCCTCAATAATAAACTCTGCCAGGCGAAACCGAACTCTATTGGGAACGAAACCGTCATCCTCACTCCATTCTACCACCTTTCCGTTGTCCTTGCTCTTGACTTGGAAGGTAGCAACGAATGAACCCATTTCACGTACGCCGGGCTTAACGGTTTGTAGCGTTGAGACGACGTCACAGACATCACTATCCCTCAGAAGAGCGCGGAGCTTCATCCCGCCGTTGTACTCTTTGAGCGCAACCTTCGCCTTTTGCTTCTGTTCGGCACGGTTCAGCTTTGGCCTACTGACACGTCTAACACCTCCTGACAGCTTGATCTTACGACCATGATCCTTAGGGGCATTTCCATTACCACACACAGCTTCAGTTTCTACTGGGATTGTGGTTTCAGATGCCGGTTTATTCGCTGTGGAGTTTGTATGCTGTGTAGGTCTCGTATTGGAGTGAGTAGCTTGGGTTGCTTGCGCCTCGGAATGAGAACCACCGGTGGTTCCGTCGGGAGTGTCCGCGTTTCCTCCAGATCCATCGCCACTGTGGTCACCATCGCTATCGGCACCGTCGCCGTTCACCGTATTCACTACCCGTCCTTGACGCAAATTGTACCACCACTGTTCTAGCTGAGCCATCGCTGTGTTGAAAGCACTGTCCGGAAATTGGACAAGTTCACCACTAATTCGTCCAAACGCCTGCTGGATTCGTCGATACTTCTCCGCTTCAGTGAGATTTAAAGAGTTTGTAGATACGCTGGCCTTGTATATCTTAGCCATGAAAGGCTTTCTTACCTCGACCAGGTTCCCTGGTACAAGCCTGCTCTGTCCAAACCACCTACACAAATTCCAACAACACAGAATGACAAACATTAGTCAAAACCTGATCAAAACCTGGATGCAATGCTGGAGAATGAGATGATCAGCGGATTACCACTCGCCTTCCTGTACACCATAGCATGACGACATGGAAGCTTCATCGTCTGGTAGAACTCGCAATCGCACGTCAAGTCATCCTTCTCGAGAAGGTACTCGTGGTCTTCGTACTGGACATTGATTGTGGAGCAGAACGAGTAGTTGTCTGCTACGGCTGGGTCTGACGCGACGTCGTACTGTGTTTTAATTGCTGCGGCTACCCAGCGCGTTGTCACCCCCAACACCACGTTCATCTGCTCTGGATAGGAGGTGTCCCGCAAACTACCAGGCATCTCGACCTTCGACTTGTACTCTTCTTCCTTGCGGTGCTGGATGTTCAGAAGAACCTTGTAACTGATTCGCATCGTGAATTGACCTTTTAACTGCCGCTTAAGTTTGCCAAAAAAGCTTTCAGCTCGGTTGTTTGTGCGATTTCCAAAGTAAGGCAAGTCCACACAATACGCCAATACCCACATTTCACAGCAATCATTCCAATTCTTGTCAAAATATTCATAAAGCTTTGTACGGCCGTCTCTGCAAGCTAGATTTTTGAGCTCATCACGATGCGGTGCGTACGCTTCTATAGTTCGAGAGTAGGTCATGTTCGGGATTGTGTGCTTCATTTGTGCCAGCACATCTGCATCGTACGTTCCAAACTTCGTAGACTTTCTTATAATATCGTGAAGCCACTTGATCACGTGAAAATGACAGTTTAACACACGAGCCTCCGGGAGCTTCTTGCGAATGACATCAACTTCGCGCATGTCCTTATCCACGATAACAATTCGTACAAATCATCAGTGTTCATTCGAAGCACTTCCCCATGTGCCAGTCATTGTTCATTTCAATCAGTGAGTATTGCACGGGCTGGCCGTTGCCAAACTTGTCCATTGCTACCATCGTGAAAAGCTGGTAGTTGTACCGGCCAGCATGGAAAAATACCTGGTCAATACTTGTTCAAACCTGAGATAAACCTGCACTACGTAACATTACATATAACTCACTGGTTGGTCTTGTGTGTGCCATCCACTTGAATCACCTCCGGAAAGCTGTCCACCATGGCGCGCATGTGGCCGCTTGCCAACGAAATAACACCAGTATCCCCGCGAGTACTGTGGATACGTTTGCCGATGACGATATGTTGAAGTCCACAACCATTTCAGCAACTGCATCATCATCAGACAGCTCATCACCTACGAGGCAAAGATGAGCGCATCAGTATAAAACCTTAACATCACACCGTTTTATACAGTATTACCTTGATTTTGCAGCCGGAGCAGCAGGTTATGAACGTCGTTCATTGTGACTTGATGGTTGGAGTTGTCCCATATATAGTTGTAGACACTCGCAGTGCCGGATTTGGTTTCAACCAAGAGCTCTTCCCTGGCATCAAGGGTGAATCAGCAGGAACCTGGTGGATATCTGGATAAGACCTGTAAATTCCTTCGGGGATCCGGTGGTTGTGACTGTACACTTCTCGCTTCATCATGATACCCCAGGTGCCGTCACGGCGCTTGGTCACTTGTGCCAGTATCTGAAATGGGCAGTCGATCGTGTATAACTTGTGTGACGTCCGTTTGCCCGTCGACCTGTCACGCTCCGACCATTCGTGGGTGCAGATAAACTTGCGCTGATAGGGCTCCATTTCGATAGATACGAGCGGTATCTCCGAGTCTGGAAGTCCTTGGTACCGAACTTGACTGCGAAGGTGAGCGTTACGACGAGCGATGTTAACCACCTCCTTCACCACGATTTTCTGACGTGTAGCCTCCATGTACTCCTTTAAGCTCACCTCCAAAGAGGTCCAGGAATTGTGCTGAGCCTTAAACGCAGGATCTTCAATCAATACCTCATCCTCGATGTCCGAAACGGTCCCTTTCCTCCCTTGACAACGCCGCTTCGAAGGCTCTTTAGCCACTTGAGTCTGTGCGACGTCTTTCTCCGACACACCCAAACTGTCCGAGCCATTCATAGTCTCCTTACCGGCTGTTTCCGTGGCTTTCGCGTCGTCGGCTGGATCCTCCGTGGTATCCTCGGCGGACTTTCCCTCTTCTCCATCGTCCTCTAAGTCCGCGGTGAGGGGCTGAGATCTCTGCACAATTTCTAATGCTTGAGCCCTCTCTGACCGCGTACGCGCATCATGCACGCGAGCGATGTCTGCCCGTCGAGCTTCCTCGGCTAGGCGCTCCTTCTCCGCCACCGCTGCCTTAATGTGAGCGGTCTTGTGCGTACGCGCTATCGTCGCTCCGTCCGGGTCGGCACGGTCACGTGTCGCGATTCTCTCCCCCCTTACTGGTGGCTGAGGGTCAAAAGAAAAAATAACGGTAATTTGCAAGCAATAGATTCTACCTGGGCAATACCTGCTGATATACATGTATTATACCTGATGGGACAAACCTGGACGCGAGGGGTGCTCTAGTTTTTATAGGTTTAAAACCCGGTCATTTTGATCGCGCACTTCGACATTGTTCAACCTTCCATACACCGCTGTTAGAACAGCATACATGTACAAAATATCGCTATCCACATAATTCATGATACCGGTTATTTTAATCGGTCAAGTTTAATGCTATTATGCAGCGAATACTAATCGTATTCAAGCGTTAGGAACAGCAATGGATGGCCCGGAGTCTCCTTGATCGACTACAGCCTCTCGTTTGTCCTTATCTTGCGTTCATTTTGCAAAAATGCAAGTTGAGCGACATGAGTACACTAGTGCTGAGTAGAAAATGATGGTGAGGAACTACACCTTTTTCGCCCTACA